GGGGGGGGGGGGGGGGAAGCACGTGGGAAGCACGTGTGATGAATGAAAACACCACATTTGCACATTTGCATCCAGTCTACCGGCCGGAGCAGCAAAAAAACAAAGCCAACAATATGCCATCGTGCGAACGCGAGCCGCTCCATTCCAACGTACATTGAACCTCCTTATCCGACCGCAACAAGGCTAACCCCCGTCATAACTTCCCCATTCATCTGTACCTACACCAGACACGCTCCCTTCCAAACAGCAGCCACCATACGCTAAAAAAAAACAGTAAATAAATAAATGATGCAGTTTCTCGTCATGTCATGTGGCCCTTCGTGTTCAAAGAACGCCAACTTACCCTCCTGCCTTGCTGGGAAAAGCTGGCGTCGACAACGCCGCGCCCCCGCCTGCCGCCTCGCCGGCGCCCCCACTCCCTCCACCGCCTCCGCCGGTCCCGCCTCCCGCGCCGCTATCCATGAACATGCTGACCGCGTTCTCCAAGGAGTAGGCGTTTGCCTGCGTTCGATGGAGGGCGGGAGTAGTGAGGGAATCAAGTCTTGCACAAGACCAAAAAAACTGAAATTCGAATCTGGTCTTGCCAAACTCAACTGATGTTTGTGGAACATTGTTCTCGCGCGTGATAGAACAGGCTAGGGCTGCTACAAACTCGTCACATTCTCCAGGATCTAAGCCACTCGCAAGGGTGTGCCTGCATCGGTCCTGCAAAAACATTTTTTTGTGCGACAGGCGGTTGGGATTGGCATGCGCCATTACTTTTTTTAACACCAACACCGACGACAAATAATTCAAGTACAGTACTACTTTTCCGACGGTGGAAAAAGACCAAGTAATTTGACACCACTGCATCTACTCCAGCGGTGGGATCGGTGAGAATAAGTAAATATCATGGTATCATTCGCTTGGCTGGTGCACGACAGCCACTACTGCATGGGAGCAAGGTGCGAGGCTAGGATGAATGATGGATCGTTGAGATAACGAAATCAACAACAAACAGTGGGAGCTGTGCCGGCACCAGCATCAGCAGAGGCGATGGCAGGAACAACGGTCACAGATTATAGCTGGGAGGAGGAAAAAATACCGTCGCAGCAGCAGCAGTAGCAGCAGTAGCAGCAGCAGCAGCAGTGATGATGGCGACAACAAAGAGGCAGCATCTGCACACACCTGCACACACTTAAAAAAAGCCAAGTCGAAAAGAAAAGCGACGACAACAGCCACTTCGACGACGAGGACAAATTGCCCTCACCTCTAGCCAGTGGTTGGCGACGTCCTCCGAAGACACCCCGGTGACCGCGATAAATTGCGCCAGCTTCTCGTCATTCCCGTCACCCCCCCTAGCACCTTTGCCTCCCCCATCGCCGCCCTTTCCGCCGCCCCCCCCTCCTGCGCCCGAGTCCGCCATTGGCGTCGATTGCTCGCGACCGCGGTAGGTAGTCGCGAGTGGGCAAATAGGTCTTGGCTATACCAATGTAGGGCGTGGATTTCTCACGCCAGTCTGGAGTGGAGGTTGTGTGCTTATCCAAAGAAACACCCGTGAATGCAAGCCAGGATCTCAAAGTTCCTCCCCTGTCTTCGGTGTGAACCACGGGGTCCCTATTGGAAAGAAAGGTTTCGGCGATCATTGCAACAAGGGGATCGGGGACGGGGGAAAAGACGAAGGAGAAGGGATGCATCGGATTAGGGGACATGATTAAGACTTGGCCGGGCTGCCTTTTCAGGCGTTGTCTATGCAACACCACACCTGAGCAGCGGTGCACACGTAGTGGACCAGCTAGAACCCCGAGCAGCAGCGGTATACGCAGAAACCGTCGTGCTCGTTCCACCGAACGTCCTGCACCAAGGACCCTAACCTGCAACATCAACGCCCGTCCATCCAGGTTTACCTACTTCATTAGACTATGCGCCATGTCGTGTTTTTGATCCCTGCCGTTCGTTGTGAACTTGCTTCGGTGCTTGTACCGAAACGGAGGGAAAGGGATAGGGATGGGGTGGACAGGGACTGCAGCTGTGTGTGTAGTTTGGAGTCGTGTGTCTCACATACACACAGATATCACAAACGTGGGTTGCTAATCCTCGACATGCACCTTCGAAACTGCAAAGCAGCAGCGAGGTTGTTGTTGTTGTTTCTCACATTAGCTCTATAGTCCACAAAAAATGGGGAGCCCGTGGTCTCAAAACCCGGCACATACGACGCCGCGGGGAAACAAAAAAAAAATAGGGTACAAACCACTCGGAAAAAGAAAACAAATTGACAGAAAGAGAAGAACAGGTATCGCACCGACCGTTCGAGATNTGTTGTTTCTCACATTAGCTCTATTGTCCACAAAAAATGGGGAGCCCGTGGTCTCAAAACCCGGCACATACGACGCCGCGGGGATACAAAACAAAAATCGGGTACAAACCACTCGGAAAAAGAAAACAATTTGATAGAAAGAAAATAACAGGTACCGCACCGACCGTTCGAGATAAGAGCCCTCGGAAACCGATCAAAATAAAACAAAAACAAAAATAAAGGAGGACGCTTCCCACACCCGCCCAAACAAAAAATCAAAGGGCAACGTACCAGCACCGGGCACTACGCACCAGGGCATGGGAGTACCAGAGCAAACAGGACAAAGAGGCGGCAGATGGGCAGACAGCCAGACGTACAAAAACAAAGGCAACAGCAAAGCGAGATCAAGGTACCCAACACAGCAGAGTAGGCAGGGAGGTCATAAAAAAAAGAAACACAGCGCAGAGGCCGAAGGCGATACAAAAGACATACGTAAAGGAGTATAGCATACAGCAGGGAGGGGAACAGGGCGCAACAACATCAGTCGGGTACATAGTTCGCCACAAGTGCTGCCTCGGCCGCCCTACTCGCTTCTACAGCAGTGCCCGGTCGCCGTTTCTTCCCCCCCACCGCCGCTTCCCCGGCTCTCTTTCTCTTCGGTCCT